AGGAAGGTATCCATGGATCCAGCCACCTTCCATCTTGTTCCACCATCCCCTTGTCTTTGTCTTCATGGTGGAAGCTGACCACCATATACTCACTCTGGCCTGCAAAAAGGGGAAAATGCATGCTGATTTCATGCAAACATCTTCCTTTTAAGGAAATGACCCAGAAGATGCCACATCACTACTGCTTTCATCCCATTGGCCAGAACTTGGTCACATGGCCCTCTTGCTGCAAGGGAAGCTGGGAAAAGTCATATTTAACTAGATGGCCATGTATCCAGCTAAAACAAAGGGATTTCTATTATTAAAAAGAAACAAGGGAGAATAAATTTCCAAGGACAGCTAGTCTTCTCTACCATAGGGCTTGCCTGGAGCACATCACTTGTGTTCCCTCACATCAGCCTGAACTTGGTCACATGGTCCCACCTGGCTGCAGAGGAACCTGGGAAATGCAGTGTTTGGTCTGGGCAGCCATGTTCTCAGCTGAACATCAGAGACTCTGTGACTATAAATAAAAGAGATAGATATTAGGGGCCAGCCTCCATACCTCTCCTGAGAACTTCTGTTCATTCAGCGAAGTATGCGACAGGGTTAGCAGCTGAGAGTGAGGGAGATGAAAGAGACAGGACAGTTTCAGTCAAGGAGACCATATCAAATCGCTGAATTGTGGAGCAGGAATGTGTGCCATAAGAGGCTTTGGAGGGTGAATCTGAGGCTTGAACTCATGGACTTTAAATGAAACCTGTTTGTCAGGTTGTGTGACTTCTCTCTCCTGCAACATTCACAGCCCACGTGCAAGCAGAGAAGATGGGTGTGTAAATCGATCTGAGATTAGCATTACCAAGTGCACAAGGGGATGTTTGCAAAGGATGGATTATAAGGTTTGGCTATGGGATCTTGGATGGACAAGAAGGAAAGTGAAGGCAGGAAGACGTTCATAGATTCTGGGAAAGGGCTGAGGTCATGGGTTAGCATTTAGAGGTCAGAGATATTCATGAGATCAGAGAACTGTTGCCATGAGAGAGTATTAGAGTATTAGCAGAAATGTAAGGATGTGGTGACCAGGAAATAGGATGTTTGAGATAAAGCCTTGAAAGTGAGTGGTGTTTGAGGCTGAGCTCCTCAGGGTGTGTGAAGTAAAATGAAACATAGGCTTCTGGGATTTCACAGTCCAGGAACTGGGAGAGGCCAGACTGGTGAAGGGTAACCCATGAGGATGTTAGGCCACAGAGGTGGCCGGCAGAAGCCAAGAGGGTCCATCATCAGCCTCGTCAGCCTCCACTTCCTCATCGACAAGACAGGGATGGAAATTCCGCCCACCCTGCCCCTGTGGCTTTGATGACCTCAGGCATGGGAAATGTTTGGTTTGACATCTGGTCCCCTCTCTTATCCTTTGCCTCTCTGAATGGCCAGCCCTTCAGAAGCAGCAGGAAGATAGTAGCTGCATCTACACAGCCTCTCCTCTCCCAAAGGAAGCCACCTTACCTGGTTCCTTCACTCCTACCTGGGAGGACATTGGCTGCAGGGACCTCACTCTACTCTAAACTAGTTCCATGCTGAAGGTCAACGTTTCTCTCTAGGAGGGTCTGACATGAGAAAGTAACAAGAGGTCACCTCTCTCTTGGTGCTTGTGACTTCCTTGGTGTTCTCACTTAGAGTTGTATTTACCAGAGTCGGAAGCATAATATCGATAGCATTGGAAATGATTTTAGGTGGTTCACAAACACCATATAAATATGACGAATTGCACTGTTGTTCTTTCAATCAAGACAAAGAGAAAGTCTTCAGTTGCTGCTACTATGTCTTAAACACCCCTCTCACTCTTGCTAAGCTCCCCTTTTCATTACAGAGCAGACCTCAGGTTCAGAATCTTCAGTAGATAACAATGGCCAGTGAGAATTTAGTGAAACTATTGCTTTCATAGTATTTTAGTGTTTTCTTCCTATTTCTGCAGTTGATATTTGCTTTGTGTGTTCACCAACATCCAATGAGTATTTTATAGCTTCAAGTCAGATCATGTCAGTCCACTGCTCACACCCCTTCAGGGCTTCCCAACACATCTAGAATAAAATCTGAGGGATTTCCATGGTCTGGAAGACCCTTCATAGTCAGACCCCTGCTGAGCTCAGCCTCCTCATTTTCCATCTTTCTGCCCTTCGCTCACACCCCCTTGATGTTCCTCTGATATGCCAAGCTTAGTCTCACCTTAGGGCCTCTGCACGTGCCGTGCCATCTGCCTGGAATGCTTTCACCTGATCATCTCATGACTCATTCTAACCCTTCATGCAGGTCTCTGCTCAGATGCCAACACCTCAAAGAGGCTCTCCCTGACTGCCCTAGCGACTCTAGCTAACATAGCACAAAAGCATCTGCATCTGAACCTCACCCATCTCTCTTTAGCTTTTCAACTTTTTTTTAGCACTCATACTAATTAACCTCTCTCTACCTACTTACTTTTCCCTCCTTCTCTCCTTCCTTCCTTGTTTCATTCATTCTTCTTTTCTTCCTTCCTTTTTCCTTTCCTCCTTCCCTTCCTCCCCATCTTTTGTTTAGAATTTATCTCCCTTAGTAGAGCTCCATGAGGTCGGGGACCTTATGTTCACTGCTGTGACCCCAGGATCTAGAACAGTGACTGGCACATATGAGACACTCAATAAATATGCATTTGAAAAAAAATAGGTTAACATAGTTTCCTTTTAAAATACATTTATTTAAGTGGAATAGCAAATCAATGTGAAGAAAAGCACTCAGCAAGTAGTCTGTGTAGTACAATCTGGCAAATAACCAAAGGTGCTAAGTGATGGGCGTATTTTATTAAAGGGCTGTACACAAGACTGAGGTTTGGGAACTGCTTCCCTGAAGCGATTCTGGAGTTACTTGGGGGAAGGAGAAGAATTTCCCAGTGCTCTCCCTGCAGATCAATGAACAGACTGCTTCTCTTTTCTGGTTGGTGCTAAAGACCTTTGAGCATTGACCAGGTGCAGTGGCTCATGCCTGTAATCCCAGCACTTTGGGAGGTCGAAGTGGGAGAATTGCTTGAGCCCAGGAATTTGAGACCAGCCTGGGCAACATGGGGAGACTCCACCTCTACAAAAAATTTAAAAATTAGCCAGGCGTGGTGGTGCATGCCTATAATTCCAGCTACTTGGGAGGATGAGGTGAGAGGATCGCTTGAGCTCCAGAGTTTCAGGTTGCAGTGAGCCTAGATCGCACCACTGCACTCCAATCTGGGCAACAGAGCAAGCCCTGTCAAAACAAACAAACAAACAAACAAACAACAACAAAAAAAAAACCAGAACCCTCCTAACTGAGCACCTAGTTGGTTCCCCCCAGATTTTTAGCTTTCTTTGATGCCCCCTTCTCCCGATCCAGACTACCACCTGGTCTTTGGTCTCATTGTCCTTACCTAAAGCCAGGTGCCTCTGGAGGCTGCTGAGACAGCCATTTAGCAGCACCCAGTATGAACCCTGCACTAAGTGACTGACACATATCATCTCTGAAGACTAAGTAGTGTCATCCCCATAATAGAGACAAACAGCTCCCCAAGTCATGCACTAATTGTGCCAATATAAGATGCTTGAGGTGTGGACTGTTTTCATACCCTCCTGGTGACTTATCCTTCAGGTTCAATAACAGCCCCTTCACGCACCCAGTTCAAATGATGACTATTCAGTTTGCTTGGCATTTTATTTTTCAAAAGCCATGATTCTTTTTTTTTTTTTTCTTTTTGGAGACAGAGTCTCGATCTGTCGCCCAGGCTGGAGTGCAGTGGCACGATCTTGGCTCACCGCAACCTCCGCCTCCCAGGTTCAAGCAATTCTTTGCCTCAGCCTCCCAAGTAGGTGGGACTACAGGTGAGTGCCATCATACCCGGCTAATCTTTTAATTTTTAGTAGAGATGGGGATTTACCATGTTGACTAGGCTGGTTTCGAACTCCTGGCCTCAAGTGATCCACCCGCCTTGGCCTCCCAAAGTACTGAGATTACAGGCGTAGGCCACCAAGCCCACCCCAAAAGCCATGATTCTTTAAGGAGATTAAGCTGAGTGCCTCAAATATGCAGAAGAAAGGAATGTCTCAGAGGGGAAAACATCAAGTTTAGAGGCACAGACTGAAGGTCATGATCTAGCCATGGAGTATTTTGTTTAACTTACAAGCTATTTTTAAGTTTGGAATCAATTGCCAAAACTTAAAAATCAATAAAATTTGCACCAAAGTGTGAATTTCTGGAATTTGTTGAAAATACAGATGGCCATGCCACATTGGGCCCATATTCCTACATGGGAGCCACCAGTTGGAATTGAGGGTCAGTCACCCTTATAGAAAGACCCTGTGTTGGCTGGGCGCGGTGGCTCAAGCCTGTAATCCCAGCACTTTGGGAGGCCGAGACGGGCGGATCACGAGGTCAGGAGATAGAGACCATCCTGGCAAACACGGTGAAACCCCGTCTCTACTAAAAAGTACAAAAAACTAGCCGGGCGACGTGGCGGGCACCTGTAGTCCCAGCTACTCGGGAGGCTGAGGCAGGAGAACGGCGTAAACCCGGGAGGCGGAGCTTGCAGTGAGCTGAGATCCCGCCACTGCACTCCAGCCTGGGCGACAGAGCGAGACTCCGTCTCAAGAAAAAAAAAAAAGAAAGACCCTGTGTTTCCCCGTTTCCACAGACCCCACTACTCCCTAATGTCTTAAATGGCTTCACTCATTTATATTCCCTACCTGAACCCCAAGTTTATAACCCGGAGCAAGAAAGGCGAGAATTCGCCCTGGGACTAGGAGCGCATTCTTCCAGGCTGATAGGAGAGGAAAGGAGAATTGAATGAGATTTATGGGTCCTTAGAGAGAGAAGAGATCTGAAGGGGCCACAAGCACAGCTCTAAGCAGTAGTGTGCTGGTAAATGTTTAACAACAGCTCTCCAGGGAAGAAATGTGTGTGTATGTGTGTGTGCGTAAATATTACTAAGATAAAGATATGTTTGTTGCACACAATTTACAAATAATAAACTCTTTATTGTAAATACTCTTTATTGTAAATACTCTATCCTAAATTCCATACAGCCAATTAATTCTTCCAGAATCTTTTGTTAATTTTTTTGTGTATAAATTTTACAGAGATAAAGGATATGTTTGTTGCACACAATTTACAAATAATAATAAACTCTTTATTGTAAATATTCTTTATTGTAAACACTCTTTACCCTGAACTCCATATAGCCAATTAATCCTTATAGAATCTTTTGCTAATTTTTTTTGCCAAGCTCTTGTATCCAAAGCCAACTATCACAGCGATTTAGCCATGATTTGACCAAGTTAGACTACGAATAAAAATCACTGATTACTCTACAGCGAGACGCTGAAGAATGGGTAGAAGTTTGGCATGAATGCTGCTTGAAATTTTTGTTTACACTAGTGAGGAAGACAAAAGTAAAACAATGAAGATGAATGTCAGAACTCCAGTTTCTTCAATGATTCGAGAAGCTGTCAGCTGAAATGGATAATAGTGTCTGACTATTGGAAGAACAGTTTCTTCATATTTTGGTGCTATTCACACTGTATTGGCTATAAACAAGACATACTTTAAAGTTTAATGTGCATTACTGACATTTAATCCAGCATGTTCTGAAGTCTAGAAAACCAACAAAACAATAAATCAAGATCAAGCCCTGATGTATAGTCCTCTCTAATCTTTGTGATACAAAAATACTCCCCGCAGCCAGTTAACCAACCAAAGACAAACTAACGTGACGTCATTGAGTGGAGAATCAGGAAGAAATGTGCGGTATCTCCCCTAGGTCTCTCTGTAAGAGTTACTATATATAAATAGCCTCGAGAGCACAGATAAAAGTAACGTAGTAAAATTAGGTAATGAGTTTTGAGTATAATTATTTGTTTTCATATAATGTATTGAATTATACATTTAAGTCATTTAATTTTTTATAATGGCTGTGTTTACACTTGCAAAAATCCTGAAAGTGTAGCAATCAGCTCTCACAAGCCGGCAAAGCCAGCTCCAGCACACCACCGGAAGCATCTAGAATGGAGAAGACAGGAGAACTCGAGGGACCGGAGTCCTTGGGGGCTCTGCCAGCATCCATGTGTGCAGGTATGAATGACAAAGCATCCAGCACCTAGGACCTATCTTAGCTCTTCATTCTCCCCAGCATCTGGGAGCTTCTTGTCAGTCCCTTCCTTAAGTGATCTCCAGTCTTAGCTACTTGCTCAGTCCCCTGTCTGATTCACCCTGACCCTTTACTGGGTCCAGAGGAGGGACCTGGGTAACGGAGGATGAGTAGAAATTTCCCAGTTCCTGGACCAGCTGGGGACCCTCCTGAAGGGAAACAGGGTCTAAATACACCCCCTGAGACATAATTATCCCCATTCTGCAGATGAGAAAACTGAGGGTTCAGGGAGTTGTTTTTTACCGAGGTTCAAATGCTGCCAAGAGGCAAAGGCAATATTGATAAGCAGGTTTGTTGGCCTCCAAACCTATCTCCTTTCTGCAAAGCCATCCTGTGCCATCCTGGAGACAGCTCCTGGACCAGCATTTAGAATTCCAGCTCACTGGAGTCAGTAGAAATCTTAAGAATGACCTTGTCCAGGCTTCCCATTATACAAGTGGGGAAACTGAGGCCCATGGTCATTCATACAGCAATGACACCAGCAGACCAAGGACTAGAGCTGAAGCCTCCTATCAACTAGTCAGAGTTGCTGGCAAAGGATAAATATTCTGGGTAAGAGAATTAGAGGGGTCGAATAAAACTCAGATAAAAGAGTCAAAAGGCCTATAATCCGAGCACTTTGGGAGGCCAAGGCAGGAGGATCACTTGAGCTCAGGAGTTCGAGACCAGCCTGGCCAACATGGCAAAACCCCATCTCTACTAAAAATACAAAAAATTAGCTGGGCGTGGTGGCATGCGCCTGTAGTCCCACCTGCTTGGGAGGCTGAGGCACAAGAATTGCTTGAACCCAGGAGGTGGAGGTTGCAGTGAACTGAGATCATGTCAGCCTGGGCGACAGGGTGAGACTCTGCCTCAAAAAAAATAAGAGTAAAAAAAGAGATTTACCCCTCCCCAAAATGCCAGTTGAAAAAAGAGGTTAGAGAAGATGATATCCTCATTTGGATTTAGGGGTGATATCGGGAGAGACTTCCTGCCAGGATTGGTACCCTTGAGATTCTTTGAGAAAGTCCATGGTGTAGCAAAGACTTCATAGAATATTCTTCTTATAAATACTGCAGAGATGTGCAAGTCAGTGGGGAAACTGAGGCATGAAGCTAGATCCTCAGAAACCCTCAGAGTTGGGCATTCTCAGACTTTCATCCTTTTTACCCCAGCAAAAACAGACCACCTTTGGGGGCAGGGGCCACTCCCAAATGACCAGCTGGAACTTGTGCCCTGGGGCCTAGGAAGCAGGATGCTGGAGACGGTCTGCCAAAGCCATGGTCCCAGAATTTCCAGGCAGACGGATTCCTCAGGAGGCTGCAGAGACCTCAATGCGGCTGTACTGGATGCCAGTGGAGTTCTGCCTGTGGCCAAAGCTCAGGGCAAACCTGTCAAACAGAGAATGTGTGGGATCACGGGGTGGCAAGGCCTGGGGCCGTCCCTGGGGGGTGGACCTTCCACTGGAGTTCCCACCCCCCAATCCCACCTTCACTCCTACAATGACCCTTCCTGCTTCCTGCCTTACTACAAATGTCCACCTTCTCTCACCTGGACCCCCAGCAGCTCCTCCCTGGTCTCCCAGGGTCTTCCCTGGCCTCCTATAACCCCTTGTCACCATTACATCCACAGTGACCTTTCTAAACGCAAAAATCTATCACTCCCCACTGATATGGTTTGGATCTGTGTCCCCACTAAAATCTCATGTTCAATTGTAATTCTCAGTGTTGGAGGTGGGGCGTGATGGGAGGTGATTGGATCATGGGGGCAGTTTATCATGAATGGTTTAACACCATCCCTTTCGGTAGTGTCCTTGAGATGGTAAGTCAGTTCTCATGAAATCTGGTCATTTAAAAGTGTGTAGCACCATCCCCTGCTCCCGCCACCCCCTGCTGCCGCCATGTAAGATGTGCTGACTGCCCTTCGCCTTCCGCCATGACTGTAAGTTTCCTGAAGCCTCCCCAGAAGTTGAGCAGACACCAGCATCATTCTTCCTGTACAGAGTGCAGAACCATGAGCCAATTACACCTCTTTTCTTTATAAATTACCCAGTATTTCTTTATATCTATGTGAGAATGGACTAATACACCTGCTCAAAAGAAAGCCATCATCATGCTCAGCCTAACATCCCATCTTCTCACCATGGCTGCCCTCCCTGACACCAACCCCTCCAGTCCCATTTGCTCATCACACCCTGGCCACTTGGGCCCCCTTCGAAACCCCTAACTTGTTTCCACTTCAGGGCCTTTGCTCTTGCTGTTCCCTCCACCTAGAACATTTCTTCCAGCTCTTGAAACTGTTTCTTCCACTTGAACATTTCTTCAGCTCTTGAACCCGCGGACTTTTTCTCATAATTCCAGTCTCAGCTCAGAGCGGCCTTCCTTGAGCATCATTCATTCAGTCAGAGACATGGTTAAAGATGACAGTGCCAGGCACTGCTCTAGGCCCTGGGAACAGGGCAGTGAGTGAAACCAATACACAAAAATATCACCGTGCTTGTTGAAAATTCCTGATACACTTGTAACACAAATGCACCCGTAGCTATTTGCACCCTAGCTAAAGAAACTGTATCCATCTCCCAAATCTGCTGTTCACTCTCTGGTAGGTTAACCTGCCTTATTTTCTTCATGATGTAAAAACTCTGAATTATCTTATTCGTGCATTTTTGAGTTTTGTAGTCTATCTCTCTCCTATACATTAAAATGTAACTTCCTTCTAAGTCCAGAGACAGGGTCTCTCTCGGTCATGGGTCTGTCCCCAGAGCCTACTACAGTGCCCGGCACTTAAAAATATTTGCTGAAAGTTGAATGAATCGATTCCTGAGAAACTGGGATAAAACAGGAATTTTTGAAAGTTTTTTTTGTTGTTGTTGTTATTATATCCCCTGAGGGATTGGTAAAGGTCTCTTTTGAACAGAAATAACTTGACAGAAAGCAAAATAAACAACATTTCGGCAACCAATTGCCATTGATTGATGTAAGACGATTTGAGCCCCTTGTGTTACTAATGTGTCCCTAAAGCAGGTAGAGAAACTGGATCTGTAAGATGTAGGTCCCCATTTCCAACAAGCACATCTGAGGCATAGGGATGCAGAAGAAGTCAGCCCTACAGCAGTGGGTGACAGCTCTACCGGCATCTGCCTCTCATTTTGGGGGAACTAGTCTACTCTGTGGCATGCGGCTTGACTGGACTATCAATCAAGGATCTCTACCCTATCCTGGCTAAGTTAGAGGTTAGGAGGTGGGCACATAAACCAGCCTCGGCCAATCAGACTTTCTCCTGGGACCATGACTTTTGTATGGAGGACACAGGAATGAAAATAGTTGCTGCTGAAAAGACTATCCCTTTAGTTCCTGTTGTCCAAATCCCTGGATATGCCCTGGTCCTGTGTTCCCAAAGTTGAGTTTCTCTCTCTCTGTGGCCTCTGATATCAAGAGCCCCCTGAACTCTAGGGACAGAGATGATAAAACACAGACCTGCCTCTGGAATCCACGAAAACCCCTAACTTCCTGTCTTCTCCAGAGTCAGAGCAGACCCAGCCTCCAGTCCCCAAGGGCTGACCCTTGCTCCCCCATGTAACCCCAGGACCAGCCTGACACCCCACAGCTGCAGTCACATCCTGCCTTACCCCAAGGCTGGCTCCCACCTGCCTTTCTGCCTCCTTTGCTTTTTATCTCAGAGGATGGATTTGGAATCTTCTCCCAAGAAAATCAGTGTGGCAGAGATGCCAGGCAGCTGTCTAGTAACAGAACCCTTGATTTTCAGCTGGACACATGGCTACCCAGATTGAAAACCACATTTCTTGGCCTCCCCTGCACATAGGTGTAGCCAAGTTCTATGCAAAGGCATGTGGGCGGAAGTGACCTTGAGGACTATGCCCACCCCCCCCCATCCTCTGGCAGGTATGTGGGGTTGCACCTCCTTAGGCCATGCAGGAAAGGCGATACGGAAGAGGTGGCATGGCAACAAAACAGAAGGAGCCTGGGACCCTGCATGACCTCATGGCACACAGCTTCCACCCAGCCCTGGATCCCCAACTGACATTTGGACGACTTCAAGCCGCCAAATCGATTTCCTAACTAATACAGCTGGGTTGCTGAGGGGCCTGCCGAAACTGCAGAAGGTGCCACTCAACAAAGTAGGAGAGGACATTCTGGAGTGGGGAGGACTGGGTTACGGGTTCTTACATCAGGAGCCAGATTGGGGTGGGGCTTAGAAGCCAGTGCAGGGATGCTAGTCAATATTAAAATGTTTTTTTAAAACTTTGTATGACTTCCCAGAAACAGAACGGGCAGTCAGGAGCTGGTGACTATCACCTACTTACAAGAGGTAACTGGGGACATTTGCCAAAGATGCTTAGGATTGTATGAAGTTCCTTCCGAAGCTCCCATTCCACTCTTCTTTTATTTGAACAGTCTCATGATGCTATGATTCTGAACTCCCCTTAATGACCCAAAGACCTGATGTGATCTAGCTCCTACCCATCTAGCCTGTTTGACCCTGCACGCTCTTCCCTCCCTCTGTTCCAGGCACACTGGCTTCCTTGTTGTTCCTTGCACATGCTAGATACATGCCCACCTCAGGGCCTTTGCACTTGCTGTTCCTTCTGCCTAATGCTCCTCCCCCATCGTTACATGGGTGCCTCCTTCTCACTGACTTAAATTCCACCTCCTCTGAGAGGACTTCCCTCCCTGACCACCCACTCTACTTCAGCCACAACCCCTTTCTTCTTTGTTCCCCCTGTGTCAACCTGGCCCTCTCAACATATTTTGCTCTGTTTCATTTTCTCCTAATCACCCATCACCAACTAAAATGCTTTTGTTTATGCATGTGTTGTCTTCCCTCCCCCATCAAATGGAAGCTCCTTGAGGACAGGAACTTTGTCTTCCTTAATCTCTGCAAGTTTCCTAAGGCTCTGAACACTGTCTGGCACATAGTGACGACTTAATAAATAGCCACAGAATGAATGCATGAAGCCCACAAGTGTTTTGCATGCAATATTTAAAGGCCATAGTTATAATGTTTTGCTTCTCCAAGGTCCAGTGACTCTAAGATAGTTTATGGTTTTAAGATTCCACTGTTCCAGCCTCCTGTATTCCATAATCAAATGATTTTTAAATCCCTGTGAGCTGGGTCTTAAAGTCAAATGAAAAAGCACTGTAGGGAGACACAGAACAACTCAAGGAAAACAGCTGTGTGTGACCAGACAAAACTCATAGTGCCCAGGAAGACAGGAGGAATGCCCGCTTGCAAAGGGAAAGCACAAAGATGAAAATCCTGAAGCCATGTGCTTGGGGTGTGATAAAGCTCTTCCCCCAGACCCACCCTGTCAGCTTCCTACCGTCTCTTCTGGAACTGCTGGTCTATCTCTGCCAATGACTGGCCTTTTGTTTCAGGAACAAATAAATAGATGAAGCCCAGGCCGAGGACAGCGGTCAGTCCGTAGAGCAGGAAGGTCCAGGACAAGCCGATGGTGCCTGGAAAAAGGGCGGGTATGTAGGCCTGGGGCCAGGCACTCTGGCCCCGCAGCCTGGGCCAACTGGTGGGTTCTAGGTCAGGCATGGAAAGTCAGTTCACTCAAAGCAAATGTTCCCAGTGATCAATTTGCAGAATGACCAATAAGCTGTCAGTGAAGTACGTTAAAGCGGAAATCTCACTGATTGTCTCAAAGGAGGGGATGAGCCAGGATGCAAGTCCACAAGCACAGAGACAACGGCAACTTGTGTTTATGGGAAAGAGCCCTCACCCACATCTAGAGCACTATCCCGTGGAGTGTGCTTGGGCTCCAAAAGCCTGGCTTGAAGGATCGTGGATCCAGCTGAGTTGCCAAACAGCTGCATAGACACAGCTTGGCAAATCTCAGTTTAAAAAAAAAAAAATCCTTAGAAATTCCATGAATTGGGCTCTGCACAGTGGCTCAGGCCTGTAATATCAGCACTTTGGGAGGCTGAGGTGGGAGGATCACTTGAGCTCAGGAGTTCAAGACCAGCCTGGGCAACATGGTGAAACCCTGTCTCTACTAAAAACAAAGAATAAAAAGATTAGCTGGGCGTGACAGCGCACACCTGTAGCCCCAGCTACTCGGGAGGCTGAGCCCTGGAGGTTAAGGCTGCAGTGAGCCGAGATCACGCCACTGCACTCTGCCCTGCACTCAGGGCGACAGAGTGAGAGACCCTGTCTCAAAAATAAAAAAAAGACAACAAAAACAAAAAACAAAAAAACCAACGAACAAAAACAACAACAAAAAAACACCCAGAAATTCCATGAATCGGTCATTCAGTGAATCGATCATTCAGAGAATTGAGTTTTAGCCAGTTTGGCCTGTGACTGGTTTGGGAGAGAGGACAAAAGTCACAGTTCAGTCCCAGGGTCGGCCTCCTTCCTAGAGCCTCCAGTGGGTCTCAGAGCCAGCAGCCAAGATGGGAATGACCCTGAGTCCTTTGATGTCATCCAGCCCAAGACAAGAGAAGAGGCTGTGGAGGAAGGGTCTTTGTCAAGGCAGAAGACAAATTATGTTTTGGAAGCCATTCTCACCTCTGACAGCCATATCCGTATCTCCTTTAGGCAGCCTCCCATGACCAGCTGGACCTATTGCCAGCAGGAGGAGCAACAGTCTGGAAGTCAGTGGGGCTGGTTCTAGTATTTTGACTCCCTGGCTGGATGGGGTAAGGATGTATTTTCCCATATGTGAAATGGGGATGATGTATGATACAATTCCAGTAAATTCCTTCCTTCCTTTCTCCCTCCCTCCCTTCCTTCCTCCCTTCCTTGTTTCTCTCCTTCTTTCTCCTCTCTTACTCACTTACTCCACACAAAGGGAAATGCTTGAAGACTGAGGCTGCAGGGAGAAGCTTGGATTCCCTAAGACGGGGGGTGGAAGACAGCCATGATGGGGGGGGGTCTTCCACTGGGGTTTCCCACAGCACCGCCCCCCAGCCTCCCAAGGTGGCTGCACCTTTGAGAAGGAAACTCTTGGCCATAGGGTATAGGAAAATAACTGAACCTTGGGGCCCACAGTGAAGGAGCCTGTGTACTCTGGCCCAGATGAGCAATACCCACTGAAGACCAGGGTCTGGAGCCATGAGCATCTCAGCATTTCAGAGTCATTCCCTGGTGTTCTGGGCCCACATAATTTCCACCCCATCCCACCACACCGCAGACTGGGTTTCAATGCTAGGGAGGAAGAGATGATGTCACCCAAACTTGATTTGAGAAAAACTTCCAGGCCAGACACAGTGACTCACGCCTGTAATCCCAGCACGTTGGGAGGCCAAGGCGGGTGGATCACTTGAGGTCAGGAGTTCGAGACCAGCCTGGCCAACCTGGTGAAACCCTGTCTTTATGAAAAACACAAAAATTAGCCGGGCATAGTGGCGTGTGCCTATAGTCCCAGCTACTCGGGAGGCTGAGGCAGAAGAATAGTTTGAACCTGGGAGGTGGAGGTTGCAGTGAGCTGAGAATGCACCACTGCACTCCAGCCTGGCTGACAGAGCAAGACTCTGTCTCAAAAAAAATTAAAAAGAAAAGAAAAGCCAAGAAAAACAGGTGTCATGAACCAGTTTAAGCCAGTTTGGAGCAAATAAACATTGCTACTCTTACACCTGCCGGTTGACCTCAGATAACCTCTCACCAGTACTGGGTGTAGACTATCACCCGTTAGCTGGCCGGGGGAGTTTTACAGTGCGTATGAGGGTCCTGGATGTCGTTTTGGACACTTGGTGATGTTTCTGCACAGAATAATGGTTCTGCAGCTAATACACAGGAAAATCCAAAAATGTCTGCTTTAGAGTAGGGAGCTTGGGCCACAGAAAAAAAACGGGCTTGTCTGGGAAGGACTCACCAATGAGATCAAGGAAGGAGAGGCTGATGAAGAGATTGGCTGCCCAGTTGAAGCTGTTGCAGAAGGCGAAGGCTCTTCCTCGTATCTCCACAGGGTAGATCTCGCTGAGAACAAGCCAGGTCACTAGGGTGGGAGAGCAGGAGGGCTCCTGGGCTGTGGTGGGACCTGGGGCCTGGCGCCATCAGGTCAAACACGCAGCCTCTCAACAATGGGATTTTGCAGTGTCAGGCTCCCAGTACCAAACTCCCACCCCCATACCTCTGTAAGAATCCCAGGAGGGTCTCAGTTTGCTGAAGACTGAGAGGTTTTCTGAGACATGAGACTTTCAGTGCTGAGATGGGAACAGTCTTGGATGAACTGGGATGATTGGTTTTTCACCCTATTCATTAAATTCCTTCCAGTTGTGAGCTATCCAGGCTTTAAGGGACCTGAAGCTCAAATGACTTGGGGAGCCTTTTAAGGAATACAAATTACAAACATAAAATTAGGCACTGGCCCTGGGAGGAGCAACTGCTAGTAAGTGAGGGGCCCTGAAGCTTCATGGTCAACCCACCTCTACTGCCCTGCTGACACCCTGCCAGGTAGTCAGGGTGGGAAGTCCCCAAACTTCCCCTTAGGAGGGGTAGGAGGCTCCAGAGTCACCTGCAAGAGAACTCCACTTACCTGGCCCAAACCCAAAGGAAAAGGCACTGACAAAGACCATCAGGCAGAGGAGCGCCGTCCAGCGCAGCAGTGCATGTCCCTGGGCGGGCAGAGGGGGCCCAGGGAGGGCAGAGCTCAGGGCCGGCTGAGGAGGGGCTGAGGGGTCTCCAGATCTGGGATGGGGCTTGGTTTTCTTAACAGTGGACAAGATTGGCTCCCTTTGGTCCTCATTGGTCCTTGGCATGGGAGGTAGAGAGGAGTCCCGCAGCAGGCCAGAGTCTTCAGGGAGGCCCATCTGCCCAGTGGCATTGGGCACAGCCAGGCAGCTTGGGCCTGAGTCCATGGGCACGGCAAAGCTGACGAGGCCTATGCCGCTGACAGACAGGGCCATGAAGGCACAGCCAGCTAGCAACAGAGCCCTGCGGCCTGCACGGTCCACCAGCCCCATGGCGGTCAGGGTAGCTGCCACCTTCACTGCGCCAAGCCCCACAGAAGCCAACATGGCTGAGGATCCCCCATGGAAGCCGACAGAGCTGAAGATGGTGGAGGCATAGCATAGCACGTTGGGCTGCCCTGTTAGTTGCTGGAAGAGCACCAGCCCCAGGCCCACTGTGGTCCGGCCTCGCATGTTATCCCGTGCCCTGAAGAGGTCCAGAAAGGAGTACCGTGGCCTCCCCAGGCCCAGCTTGGGGGCCTCACCTCCCTGGAGTGGGATGAGGTCCTTGTGTGCTGCAGTCTCATCTGCACCAGCAGGGAGGAAGAGGAGGCTGAGGGACTGCAGGAGAGCAGGTGCGGTGGCCCAGCCGAACATATGTCTCCATCCCCAGGGGGTACCAGCCAGTGCGTAGTTGAGGGCATAGGAGAGCAGGATGCCCACGGTGATTCCTGCCTCATAGAGGGACACCAGCACTCCCCGCTGCCGTGGTCCCACGAGCTCTGACACATAGATACAGCAGGCCATGGAGGAGAGGGAAATGGCGAAGCCAACCACAGAGCGGCCCAGGACCAGCCAGGTCAGGGAACCAGCCAGGCCCAGGGTCAGGCTGCCTGCCAGCAGCACCAAGTTGCTCCCGAGGATGGCTTGCTTCCTGCCATAGCAGTCAATGAGGAAGCCACCAACCAGGGAGGCAAGGAGAGCTCCCAGAAGCAGGCTGCCCACCAGGAACTCCTGCTCCAAGCAGCTTAGCCCAAAGTCAAGCTGCAGTGGCAGCAGGGCACCTGATATGACTGCCAGTTCATAACCAAACGTCAGGCCACCCAGCAAAGACACAGAGGCACACAAGGGCAGTAGAGGTGGGGGGCGGCCTAAAAAACAAAAGTGACAGGGACAGAGTTAGAATGGTTCCTTGTCATACCATCAGTCCATTCAACCTTCCCTCCATCTGTCAACACCTCCATCTATCCATCCATCTACTCCATCTATTCAACCATCCATTCAAACCATCCATCCATCCATCCATCCATCCATCCATCCATCCATCCATCCATCCATCTGTCCATCCATCCACTCCATCAATTCAACCATCCATCCATTCCTCCTCCATCCATCCATTTACTCCCTCTGTTCAACCACCCATTCAACCATCCACTGATCCATCCATCCATCCATCCACTCCATCCATCCACTCCATCTATTCATCCATCCATCCACTCCATCTATTCAACCATCCATCCATCTACTCCATCTATTCAACCATCCATCCATCCATCCATCCATCCAACCACCATCCTATACCATCTGTTCAATCATCCATTCAACCATCCATCCATTCTTCCATCCACTCCATCTATTCAACCACCCATCCATCCATCTATGCATCCTCCATCCATTCATCTACTTCATCCATCCAAATATTCATCCATCTGTATGTCCATTTATCTATCCCTTAATTCACTCAACCATCCATCAATTTATTGATCTATTTATCTATCTGTCTACAAAACCATCCATTCATCCACCCATCTCTGTATTTCATCCTTTTATATACTCATCCACACATCCATCCATCCATCCATCCAAATTTATTTATCTGGCATCTACAACATGCCAGGAAGTGCTCTTAGGGCTGGAATATAGCCGTGTTGTCCAGGATCTAATGTTCTAGAAGAAATAGGAAGATAATAAACATATAATTTTGGGTGGTGAAGATGTCATAAAAAATGAAGCAGGGAAAGAGAATTAAGATTGATGGAGTAGGCCAGGTGCAGTGGCTCAAGCCTGTAATCCCAGCACTTTGGGAGGCCGAGACGGGTGGATCACGAGGTCAGGAGATCGCGACCATCCTGGCTGACACGGTGAAACCCTGTCTCTACTAAAAAATACAAAAAACTAGCCGGGCGTGGTGGTGGGTACCTGTAGTCCCAGCTAGTTGGGAGGCTGAGGCAGGAGAATGGCGTAAACCCAGGAGGCGGAGCTTGCAGTGAGCTGAGATCCTGCCACTGCACTCCAGCCTGGGCGACAGAGTGAGACTCCATCTCAAAAAAAAAAAAAAAAAAGATTGATGGAGTAGTACTATTTCAAGGCCTCTCTGAAGAGCAAAAATTTGAGCAGAGATCTGAGTGACGTGAGAGCGAAAGTCCTAGGAAAATCTGGGAGAAGAACATTCTAGACAGAGTGAACAAAACGTACAGAGGCCCTGAGGTAGGACAGTTCTTGGTGTTTGAACAACTCTGGATATTAATGGTTAGTACTTATATGGTCCTTACTAAATGCCAGAATCTGTTTTAAGAGCTTTATATGTATTTTCTCATTTAATTGTTACAGCAACCCTATAACCTATCATTACTATCATCCTCCAAAGTGCACAGAAGTTAAGAAACTTTCTCATGGTCACATAACAAGTAAGTTGTAGAGATGATGTGGCTAAAGTGAGGACCTTTAATCACTGAGGTGATCAGCCAGGAGGCCAAAGGCTGAAGCCCAGTGAGTGAGAGTGATGGGAAATAATGAGGCAGGAGAAGTAGGCAGGGGCCAGACCATGTGGGACTTTGCAGGTCAAGAGGACAATGAGGAATGTCATTCTCAGTGGTTGGAAGCCTTTGATGGCTTCAGCCAGGAATGAGGTGATCTACTTTTATTTTTCAATTTTTATGAGTCCCAACAGGAAATAAATAGGTCATCTACTTTTAATTTTTAAAATATTGCTCTTGCTGTTGTATGGAGATGCTAAATGAGGTGAGTGTGGCCCAATCAACGTCCATTCACCCCTTTTTCTTTGGTATCAGGACTCTATCCAGCTAAAAGACTACATTTCCCACCTTTCCCACAGCTATGGGTGGCTACTAAGACGGAAGAGGGAGTTTTTTTGGTGGGACATTGAGAAAAGCTCTCCAAGAAGAGGGTGAGGAGGGAGACAGCTGGCTAGAGTCTTTTTTGCCCTTTTTTCTAGCTCCCTTACCTCTTGCCTGGAATGCAAGTGTGATGACTGGAGCTTCAGCAGCCATCTTGGAACATGGTTGGGGGTAACCATGAGGATGCAAGCTACACACCGACATAGTAGGACAGAAATATAGAAGAAGAATGGGTCTTTGGTGACAGTAAGCCTACCATATCAACAATGGATTGTCAATCTCCATATATTTTTATGTGCTAAGAAGAAAATCCCAACCATTTCTCACTTAGTGAAACTATGCTACTTCCAGTTTCTATTCCTAGCAGTGAAACCAGAGAGCAAGAGTAACCCCAGGTTGGAAGGGTAGTACAAGGGTCCAGGTGAGAGTGCTAATGAAAACTAAGAAGAAATGCTATATAGCAGGGAGCTGCCAGTTAAAATCAATGAGGAACACGGGCTGCATGTAAGACAACAAAGAATGGTGGGGATTGCGGCAAACTGGAGAGTTCATGCCTCATCTAAAGTCACAACACAGCTCCAGGTATTGTTAACACACCAGATTGTATAATCTCTAGCAAATTATGAGAAGGGTAACTGCCATTTCATGACTGATCCCCTTGTGCCAGGCATAATGTAAGACACTTTAAACACATCATTTCATGTAATCCTCACAACTGTAGGAAAACACCCTGTTGCATGGCCAGAGTGAGGGCATCTTGAAGCGAAACCACCATGATGACGGATATTTGGGCCCCACATACCAAGTTGTTCTACAGTAAGATCTTTTAAAATACCTGTAGTATAGATAACCCTTCATAAAGATGCTTATCCAGCCTCTCCAGTGGTCACAAGCCTTGGCAAGAAAGTGTGAAGACGTGATCAGCTGCACATGTTTTATGCTAAAAGCTTGATATATTAAGAATACTTTCTGGAGGGCAGGTATGAGAATCCACGGTCTTGTGGCTACCTGAGATACGGCTCCTGTTTGTATGTCCCTGTGAAATTTCCTTCTGCAAGACTGGATTTGTCGGCCTCCTTTTTTGGCCTCTCAGCTTCCTCAGCCTTCAGAGATAGATTTGCATAGACCTGCTCACCATGGAACAGCAACCTTACGAGTTAGGTATTATTAATATCTCCATGTAACAGATAAGGAAATTGGAAAACAGGAAGGTCAAGAACTGCCAGATTTGTTTTTTTTTTTTTTTAAGAGAAACCATAAATCCAGATTTTTATAAACTATTTTCTGATTTTTAAATGCTGTTCCAAGAACATATTAAAATATTCTTTGAGTCAGACAAAACACATTCAGAGTTTAACCCACAGGTACCAGTTTTCAACTGCTTCCATATGGAAACAAATCTTCAAGGAATACAAGGCTCTGGGTATAGTAAACATTTGTTACCTCTTCTGTCTGCCTGGAATATTTTCCTTTGAGAAGGAGCCCCTTCCCCCACTGATGGGGTTACCAGTCACAAGTACTCTCCACACACACGTAGGGATGAGCAAGTGGGTCTCAGGGAATTGCTATGCATAGACAGGAAAAAAGAACTACATTTTTTGAGAATTTCAAGCTACAGAAACAAAATAGTCATTGGTCATGATATGCAGAAGGCCTTTATGAAAATGAAACCAACACAGATGAGAACAGAGCCAAAAGATAGCAAGAAATACATCCCAATATTATTGCATGAACCCATGGATCTAGCAGTGCCTGAAGCTTACTCAATCCGTTGGGCTCTTGTTACATGAGCCAACAAACATTCTTTGTTCTTTTAGTCTGGTTTCTACAAATTATAATTTAAAAGCTCTCAATTAGTATACTGAGCAACAGAATTTCCAGACACATGGAAAAACCTGCAATCTCTCTCTCTCTCTTTTTTTTTCTAATTGAGGGATTTGTAGGGCTCCCAAGTCATTTTTACATATATATAGTAGTGAGGACAGGACAATACTTTAGATATTTGCAAAACAAGGTTCTTTTCTGTTTTGGCAACTAACTTGCTGTGTGACACTAGGCCAGTCACTTACCCTTTCTGGGCTGTGGGAGCTGGTCTCTAAAGATGGCTCCCGATGAGTCACGCATCCTGGCGTTATGCCTTTATGTGGTTCCCTCTCACACTGAATTTGAGTAGCTCTGTGACTAGTTTTAACCACCAGAATACAGCTACAGTGACACTGTTCAGTCCTGGGTCTAAATCTTGAACAATTTCCACGTTTTATGTTTTTTGGGGAGCCCCAAACCACTATGTAAGAAATCTGGCTACACTGTCACATGGAGAAACCATGTGGAGAGACCCTTAGGCAACAGACAGGGGCCTCCAGATGATTCCAACCACAGCTGCAGAAGAACCATCCAGCTGAACCCATTCAACCCAGATAACTAGTAGATGTAATAATATGATTTTTATTAGAAGACACTAAGTCTTGGAGTGTTTGTTAAACAGCAATAGATAACTTGAATGAGTCTTTCTTTTCCCATCTATAAAATGTTACTAGATCAGTCTCTTCCAAAGGGCTCCTGACAAATTAATGAAAGATGTTGCAACATCTATGTGTTAAAAATACCAATAAATAAAGCATCCATTCAAACATTTTTCTCCTTTAAGATGGAATAAAGATTCCTGAGTACATGATGAGTGAGCTCAAGGGTCAGTTTGTGGGAATCAGGAAAGCACGCCATGACCCAACTACTTCATTACTTAGGAAACACCAAACTGCACAATAATTCTGACTTCCATATCTTACAATGTGAGGTTTTTAGTCCTAGATTAGTTTAATTTATATCCAAATGGACCACTGGCTAAAGATGAAAAATGAAAAGGGTAATAAAGGAGGAGCTCAAAAATAATAATTCTGAAAAATTCTTCCTAAATCCAAAGAAATGAGTGTTTCAGTGTTCCCGTTTTATGAATGAACAAACTAATGAAGAAGGTAGAAAATCCTTGGCTGAATGTGAGAATGTGAGAGGCTTTTTGTCTTGTTTTGTTTTGTTTTTGGTAGATTTGTTTTCTTGCCATTTGCTTCTTTTCCCCTTCTAGTCCTCACGATTCCAGTTATCCGAGAGTTCTGGTTATTAAAGACATTCTGAAGCTTCTCTCTTGTGTGTCTGAACATACCTCATCTCACTCTGTGCCCCTCTCAGCTGCACTTGAACCGAGGTACTTCTGATCTCTCAGTCTCAGTTTGCTCATGTGTATAATGGGGACAATAATATCCACTTTGTTTGCTTTCAGAGCTGGTGGGAAGATAAAACGAAACAATGGATGCTGTTCCTCTAAGTTGTTATATGATCTGCCGTGTTGACAACTTAGCACAGTGGAAAGCAATGAGGACTAGGACTGAAAAGGCCTGAGTTCCAGTCTCAGCACTGCCACTTGCTCTGTGCTACCCTGAGCAAGCTGCTTCTTCTCTTTGAACTCCAGTTTCCTCACCTGTAAAAACTGGCTCTTGGAAGAGTTCAGTAGAGAAAGGAGGCCCAGGAAGCGTGCTTGAGGAGAAGTACCATGATTGCTGTTACCACCTGTAACAGTCCTGCCCAATGCCAGACTGGATTAAGAAAACACAAACTTGGTGTCATCTGCTCCCCTTCTGATATGGTTTGGCTGTGTCCCCACTTAACCCAACCGGTTAGATCTGTAACCATTTATCATGTGTCCCTTGTGAAAGCAGTATAGAGCTGGATGATTTCAGGTACAATCTGAGTTTCTTCTTTTAAAAGGTGAACTCGGCCGCGTGTGGTGGCTCATGCCTATAATCCCAGCACTTTGGAAGGCCAAGGCAGGTGGATCACCTGTGGTCAGGAGTTTGAGAGCAGCCTGGCCAACATGGCAAAACGCATCTCTACTAAAAATACAAAAATTAGCCAGGCATGGTGGTGGGTGCCTATAATCCCAGCTATCAAGGAGGCTGAGGTGGGAGAATCAATTGAACCTGGAAGGCGGAGGTTGTAGTGAACTGAGATTGCACCACTGCACTCCAGCCTGGGCGACAGAGCAAGACTCCATCTCAAAAATAAATAAATAAAGATAGACAAATAAATAAATAAATAAAAGGTGAACTGATTCACATTTATTGCAATGACTGATACAACTGAAATTATTTCTGCCATTTACTTTTTTGTCTTCTATTTACTGTGCTATCAGGATATTTCTTCTTACCTCCATTTCTGCTTTTGATGGATTATTTATGGGGTGGTTTTTTTTTTTTTCCATTTTTTCCCCCACTGATTTGAGTGTTACACTTTCTATGTTTTCCTTTCTTCTTAGAGCAGCACTACCTGACAGCATTTTCTGCAATGACAGAAATTTCTATACCTATGCTGTGCAATATGATAGTCACCAACCAACCACATGTGGAAAATGAGCCCTTGAAATGTGGCTAATGGGATGTAGAAACTAATTTCTTTTCTTTTTCTTTTTTTTTTTGTTTTAGACAGTCTTACTCTGTTGCCCAGGCTGGAGCACAGTGGTGTAATCTTGGCTCACTGCAACCTCTGCCTCCTGGGTTAAAGCAATTCTCCTGCCTCAGTCTCCCAAGTAGCTGGGACTACAGGCATGTACCACTATGCCCAGCTAATTTTTATATTTTTAGTAGAGATGGGGTTTCACCATGTTGGCCAGGCTGGTCTCGAACTCCTGACCTCAGGTGATCTGCCCACCTCAGCCTCCCAAAATGCTGAGATTACTTACAGGTATGAGCCACCATGCCCAGCCCGAATTTTTTATTTTATTTTATTTCAATTAATGTACATATAAAAATAACCACATATGGATGGTGGCTACCCTATTCACAGCACAATTGTACAGATTACTCTTAATTTTTAATTCACACACTTAAATTTATATATTTCTGGAAGCATCTAGAATAATCCAGCAGTATCTGTGTTATGCACTCCCACCCTGGAACTGACAAGAACATCTGCAATATTATAGCCCGATGTATGGAGAGTTTCTCTGGACCAGACATTGCTTTGAGTTTAAAAACACATTTACGGCCAGGTGCAGTGGCTCACGCCTGTAATCCCAACACTTTGGGAGGCTGAGGCAGGCGGATCACTTGAGGCCAGGAGTTCAAGACCAGCCTGGCCAACACGGTGAGACCCCATCTCAACTAAAAATACAAAAATTAGCTGGTTGTGTGGCACACACCACACCTGTAATCCCAGCAACTCGGGAGGCTGAGGTGGGAGAATCGCTTGAATCCGGGAAGGTGGAGGTTGCAGTGAGCCAAGATCGTGCCACTGCACTGCAGCCTGGACAACAGAGCAAGACCCTGTCTCAAAAAAAAAAAAACAAAGTTCTCACCCCAACATTATGAGGTAGGCTCTTGTATTATTTACAAATGAATACAGTGATCATCAGAGGAGTGAAGCAACTCACCTAAGGTCAAAAGTAGTAAGTGTAACCTGGACAACATAGCAAGATCCTGTCTCTACAAAAAATTTAAAAATTAGCCAGGCATGGTGGTGGGTGCCTGTAGTCCCAGTTACTCCAGCGGTTGAGGTGTGAGGATCGCTTGAGCCCAGGAGTTTGAGGTTACAGTGAGCTATGATCGTGACACTACACTGCAACCTGGGTGACAGACGGAGACCCTGACTCTAAAATAAAAGAACGAAAAACGCTGTAAGCGGCTGTGGCTAGAATGAAAGCCAGGCTGTCTGGGTCCACAGTCCCTACTCTTGACTGCTCCATTATAAAACCTTGGTGCAATGTGATTTCACTCTGTTCTCTTGGTTCGGTCCCTTCTTAGCTTTGTTGGGCAATTTTTGTGCAGAGGGAGGAGTTCCATGGGTGAAGGAATCATTCCCCACCTCCACTTCTGCTCATCCCTCTCCCCTGCCACTCCTACCCTCCAAGGAAACAAGCCCTTGCCATTCCCTGGCTGGCCTGTCCTTCCTGTTCCTCACCACTAGTAAACATCCTGGAAGATGTTGCTCAGATCCTGCTCTGTCTTCACCCCCTTTGCCCCTCCTCCCTCATTCCTGAGGTTTTCTCTCAGAAAGGAAGGTCTTTCCAGGCCATGTGAAGCAATCGAGGTGAAAGCCCAGGATTTGTTTGCCATTTCCTGGGTTCCTCTTGCAGCAAAAGGGAACCCAGCCAAAGGGTTCACAGCTTCCACCCACAGGTTCCACTGGAAAACACATCAGTGCAGGTTCAGTTGCAATGGACAATAAAACTAATGGACAATAAAAACAAACAACATGTGAAATAAAATAGTAATAATAACAGGTATCATGTTTGGAGACCTCCTCTGTGCAAAGACTTTATGTTCCTTCCCTCAATTCATCCTCGTAACAACCCTAGGTGAGACTGCTGCCATTATTCCATCCACAGATGTGGAGGTTAAGGCTCACAGTGTTCTCACAGCTAGGAAGCAACAGGATCAGGATGGAAATGCTGACCTGCCTGCCTCCCAAACCCATGTCCTTAAGAGCTCTGCTGCACTGACCTTCCAGCAAGAAGAGTCAATCAGAGATAGGTGGGGTGGGAGGCAACTGGGGTGCAGGGGGCAGAGGTGGAGGGGAGAGAGCGCTCAGAAACACCCCAAGGGATAAAGCGTGGTGAAATGATACTGTGGCATGCGACTGTAGGTATAAAGGAGCACCTCAAAGGAGTCGGGGCCATCAGGAAGACAAGGAAGAACATTCCCTTTCCATGGTTCCCATCACCTGAGTCAGTCCCACCACCTTAGCATGACAGCAAAGGCCCTTCATGGGCTGGCCTAACTCCTCAGGCACTTCGCCTCCTCCCAGACCCTGTCGCCACAGCCCCCCCCACACACACCTTGCCAACACGTTTGTTTCCGGCACATACTGTACGCTTTCATGCTGCTCCACCTCCGCACGTGCTGGGCCTCCTACGTGCACTGTCCTTGTTCTCCAAGGAAAGGGTCCGTTTGTTCCTCTACTCTCCCTCTTCAGTCCCAGGCCCTGTGCCACCTCCCCAAGGAGCCTCCAGGTACACACATCTGTTATTTGGCATCCACTCCTCATCTTCCGTTGCAGGGAGCCACCCCTTTTCCTTGTCTCACAGTCTCCTGGTTTGGGTGGAGATGACCACCCCCACCTCCACCCTCAGTGCCCAGCCCCAGGGTGGTGTCCATGATCCAGATCCAACCAATCAGCAGATTCCTGGGCCCTAGGCAGAGGTGAATACCACGTGGGGGAACCTGGCCCAGTGAGAGTCGGCCCGAGCGTGTTTGCTCACCGGGGGTGCCAAGCTAGTGGTTTACCTGCCTGGAGCCACTGGGGGCCATCTTCCCCATGAAGGATTCCTGACAACACGGTATGAGCCCCTAGATCCAACTGTACCTGAAGCCACAGACTTCAGTGACCCATAAATACTCATCACCAATTTCTCGATTTTCTGAAGGTTGTCCTGTCATTTTTTTTTTTTAAATCTCAGTACCCAAGTACCCTTCATATCAGCAGACAGTAATGTCTGCTTAGCGCCTTTCATTGGAAAAGTTTGAGGGAGTCCCTGAGCAATTCCCATGCATCTTCCTCAACTCTCCACTGCACTCCCTTTGCTTGGTCACACTGCAAGTTCCTTTGTGAGTCTTCCATATTCAACTAAGGAGGGCAGGGATAGAGATTGACTCGTCCTGAGCCTCCAGGGCCCCAGCCCTGCCCTGACACCCAAGAGGAACTCAATGAAGTTTCTGCTGAATGAACAAATGACTGGATAGGGGACCAGGGCTATTTTACCTCATGGCATTTCTGGGGCTGTGTCAGATACCTCTGAACCTAAACTAATTCTACACAGCAGCCAGAAGGATCCTGGGAAAACCTAAATCAGGCCTCATCACTCTTCCACTCAGAGCCCTCCAAGGCTCCTATTTCACTCTAAGAAAAGCCAATGTCCTCACCGTGGCCTTCAAGGCTCTACAGGATCCGTCCCCTCTCACTGGGCTCCAGCCACACTGGTTTCTTGCTGTTACTCTCACTCCAAGCACGTCCCAACTCAAAGCTTGGTACCTGCCAACCTCTCTGCCTGGGAAGTCCTTTCCCTACATGCCAATGGTTCCTTCCCTCCTCCCTTCTGATCTTTGCTGAAACATCCCTTTCTTGGTGAGGCTGTCCCTGGCCTTCTACGTAAAATTCAACCTCCCCGTAGCATCTAGCACTTTGTATCCCCTTCTGCACTTGTTTTTTCTGCATGGCACTTCTCATCATCCAAAATAACTATATAGTTTACATATTTTTTGGTCTCCCTCACCTGACAGTCAGTCTTAAGGGAACAGGAGTGGTTTGTTTCTTCTCAGCTGTCTCCCTGATGCCAAGGACAGTTACTCAGCACTCAATCAACACTTGTTAAATGAATGATTGAGTAAATGAATGAAAAAACAAATGAACTGTGAGGACGTAGGAAATCCAGAGAGAAAGGATCTTGGCTCATGAACATCTGAAAGGTCCAGGGCCTGGAAGTGGCCATGGACAGGAAGCAGAGTAAAGCCTGGTCCTCAAATTAAGATGGCTTAGGCTGGGCATGGTGGCTTATGCCTATAATCCCAATATTTTGGGAGGCTAAGGCAAGAGGATCGCTTGAGTTCATGAGTTCAAGACCAGCCTGGGTAACATGGTGAAACTGCATCTCTACCAAAAAATACAAAAATTAGCCAGGTGTAGTGGCGGGGGCCTGTAATTCCAGCTCCTCAGGAGGCTGAGGTAGGAGGATAGCTTGAGCCTGGGAGGCGGAGGTTGCAGTAAGCCAAGACTGCAAGACTGCACTCTAGACTGGATGATAGAGCCGGACTTTGTCAAAAAGGAAGGAAG